AAAAAAAAAAAAAAAAAAGTAGTCGCCGTAGGAAACGGCGTAACGGCGCATCCAGCGGCCATCACTTTTTCAAACAATGCACAACTACTTCAATACTATTCGTACAATTACCATCATAGTTTCGTCCTGGCCTTCATCACACTCTCTCTCCACCGCAGTGCGCGCACACCCCATCATCTTAAAGCACACACACACGCACTCAAAAAATAAAATAAGACAAAATAAAAAAATTCCAAGCAATGACAGCTGCAGCAGAGAGCGATAGGAAGAAGAAAAAAAAAGGCCCCCTCCACCCAACGCATGAACGCGTCCCTGTCGATCCCTACCTCACCGCCCCTCCGCATCGGCAGCGCATACGGGAAGGGAAGATCACTTGTTTCGCGCGCGACGGCCGGAACAAGACAGAAAAGCTTGGTATCCAGGCGGGCCATTGACGGGGCATGCAGGTCCTGAAACCGGCCGCACGCAAGGTCAGCCCTGCCGAGCGAAGAGAGAGAGAGCAGCCCGCCTTGCCCTTCCCTTTCTCCCGTCCCGCCTGTCCGTCGTCATTGTTCGTTGCTGTTGCGTTGTTGTGCTTGGTGCTGGGCTGCGAGGCTGCGAATCTGCGAGTCACACTCACTCACTCACACAAACCCCTCCCGTCCTGTCGTGCCTGCCTGCCACCTGCCTGTACCGAAACTTCACACCCACCCAAGACCTGCTGCAGTGCGTCCCTCCCGCGTGGGGACGGGTACCTAGGTAGGCATGTCTGCATGTACATGCATGCACGCATGGTAGTGTATGTACGTAAATGGCGTCCAATGTGCCTCCCCGCCCTATTTGATATTGTACCCCCAAGGTCCCTAGGATAAACCCTGGCCATACGGCCCAACGCGCCTGCACCTGCGCCTCGCCGCCATCATCATCATCATCTCCCCCACGTCACCCGTCACCCGTCACCCCGCCGCACCACCTAAGGCAGGTACAACACGGAACTAGCCAACAGCCCGCCCGCCCCTCCTCTACGGCGCCCTACCCGCACGCACGCGCCACAAACCCAACCCAACGCACCGCAGCAGCCCACCCAGCGCGTTCGTATCGCCTGTACGCTACGCTATCGCGGCGGGCCGCCGCCGCGGAAGGGGGCGGAGGCCGGAGGAGGGGAGGGGGACGGCAGCGAAAGGAGAGGGTGACCGAAAAGCACCGCTCCCTCCAAGGCTCGGTACGGAGCCCAAGGCAGGGCAGCCCTTCCCAATTCCCATGCTCGGCCTCCCTCGTACACCCTACTACACACGCGCAAAAAAGACGCTCGGGCAGTTCAGGCACGCCCGCCAGCGTTTCGAGTCCTGTCCGTCCGTCCGCCCGCCCGTCCGTCCCGCAAAGCTTAACCAGCCTCCTCCGTACTGTACTGTACTCACGGCACGCACGCCCACGGCATCGCCACCCCCGAGGGCGGGTCGCTGGCGGTGGGTACCTTGCGGGTTGCGGGTTGCGGGCTCGCGGTACGTCCGGCAGCAAAATTGGCGGCGGCGCCGACCTCGTATCGCGATAGCCTTAGCATGGCTTGATAAGGGCGGCACGGGGTTCTGCGCCGCAATCATGCTGCTGTCGCCTTGTGGGCTTTTTTCCTTGGTCCGCCGCGCTGCCCGAGCACTAGGTGCCTGTCCGCCCGCCCGCTCGCTCGCTCCGCGTCCCGGCTGGGTCCGGGCGGGAGAGGGGGCCGTGGCTCGCGCTTGCTTGCTCCCATTGCTTGCTTGGGCGTGCGTGCGTGCGAGGTTGCTGCCGCCTCTATTTCAAACGCAAGCTGTGTTGGGGCTTCTGTGGGGGCGGGCTGGGCGTGTGTGTACTGTACCTACGTAGTGCGGAGAGCTGAGGTGGGGCAGGATGGAAAGCTTTAAAAGCGTGGTAATTATAATGCCGTGGAACGGGGTTGTTGTTGGTGGTGGCAAAGTTGCAAGAGCGTGTGTGGTTGATTGGGAGTTGCCTGTTTTGTCGCTGACAGTGACCGGCTGAAAGGATGGATGGATGGATGTGCGTGCATGGTTGTCAGTTGGTTGGTCGGTTAGCTGGTTGTCGCTGCTGGCCGACCGACCTCAGACCTGCCTCCATTACCCGCCCGTGCTCCTCCGGCGCGCTGATGACCGACGGACTTTCGACTATGCAGTGCGAGACGCCGACCATGATGCTGTCTCAGACCGAGACGTGACGAGACGAGACGGCAGCGCAGCGCAGGGAGACGATCGCGCGTCGTTTTGTCGCCGAATGGGCTGCGCGCGTGCGTGCCTGATTGATCAACGGTTTCGACCGTCGCGCAGGCGAGAATCAGAAACCTCTTGTTTGAGACTTGTGTTCTACATTTCTGCTCAAGCTTCCTTCAATGTTACTCCCGCAAATCAAATCACGAGCTAGAGTCTTGTTGCCCGCCCGCCTCCGATTCCGCTGCTTCGCCTTGCCTCAGCTTATCCGTCCTGGGGCTTTCTTCGTCGTCTTCTTCTCTCAAGGCCTCCGACTAGTCACTTCGTTGCCGGCTCCCCAAATTAATCCCGCTGCTCGCGAGCAAGGAAATTCAGCTTCGTGAAAACCTCTCAAGCCTTTCTCGTCCATTCACACCTCGCCCATTCACATCTCATCTAGCGGCTCGTTACTGAATCAAAATAGCGGCTTTAATAACAACGGCGGTAGGTAGACACATGTGCGCTAACAACAGGTCCTATTCCTGCAAGTCATAGTTAACCTTTCTGGCATGATACTGCTCTCGTCAACCTTCAACTGTACGACATTGCCATTGACCAGCACCCAGAGCTTGTCGGCTTAAAATCTGACCCATTCTTTCTGCACCTCTTCGATTTAACGTCCATTCTCTTGGCGGGAGTACGTACGAGAGTGTCGGTCTCTGCAAATTCAGCACAAGGAAATGCGAAAGCCGAAATGAAAAGAGGTAGACAAGTTGGATCTCTTGACACAAAAGTAATCGGATGATGCAGGCGCTGTCTCCAAATATTTGGGAGTGTTAAAAGGACTAATCGACGCGCTCGCTAGATGGTGAGGTTCCCTCCCTGGTGTCGGATATTGTGTTACATGATCTCGCAGAACAGTGCTGTGTTGGTGATGCTTGGCCACGTAAGGTCGTAGATATGGCGCGCCTAGCTAACGTGCTTGTCGAAAGTGCGGAAACCCGTGTAGACAAAATTGGCATTGGCCGTGGCTTGGGAAGTCAACACCTAGACAGTGCAACTAAGGTTGTACACAGTAGGGATCGGCTTCCGTCCTAAGTCAGCGGTAGCTTCAGCGAGTTGTAAATGTTATCCTCCCCTCATCTTTTTCGACAACGGCCTCGCTGGCGTCAGTCTCCTTGACCTCCGTATACTCCATACACTCTCCGTGCCAAGCAAAATCGTAGCTGATTGTTACCCCTCATTTTGTCTCGCAGTACTATAAAGTTTGTACCACGTACATCATCGTCGCGCCCTAGAAGTAGCTACGCTCGCAGATTCACCAGGGTGTCGAAATCCTGAACCTGACATGATTGGTTCATGCCGATTTGTAAGGCAGCTCCAAGCAATGATGCCAACCCGACGCGAGAGTTCAAGCTCCCAGCTTGCCAATGAATCCGAGGTCCCCGGGTATGAGTTTAGCAAGCAACCTAAAAGGGTAACTGTAGAAGTGGATCGGGGTCGTGCAAGCTAGCCTTCTAACTGTTTTTGGCAGGTTCTGACTGGATATCATCGAGAACCGCTGTCTGTCTGGACGTGAAAGGGAAAGCGCGTCGAGCTCATGTTACCGCTCAGCTCCGTCATACCCTGTTTGCGGTCCAGGTTGACTCGCGTGTCGTGGTACTCCGTCTTCATTGCTCGTGCCAGTATCGCGACAGGGAACTCGCGGTCAGCCGATAGGTGGACGTGCTACTCCGTAAGCGCCTCGCTCCCGTCTCGCCGTTTTCCGGGTGGAGGCGTTGGGCTCACAGGAGCGCGGGGAAGAGGTGATGTGGAGCGAAAAGCACTTGAGCCGCGTCTAAAACCGCGTGCCGCCAAGACGCGAGACGCGCTCGGGCCACAGGCGGTTGCCCGCGCGCTGGAGCAAGCTTTCGTCAAACACCATCGCCGACGCGCGCAAATCCGACACTTCCCGCCAGCAACCATTCGCACTGCACAACCCCCTCACCACCAAGCACCATGGCCGACGGAATCGACAGGAAAGCTGAGGAGCGGATGGAGTTCTCCACCTCCAAGGAGGTTACCGTCGCGCCCACCTTCGAGGCCATGCACCTGAAAGAGAACCTGCTGCGCGGCATTTACGCCTACGGCTACGAGTCCCCTTCGGCCGTCCAGTCGCGTGCCATTGTCCAGATCTGTAAGGGCCGCGACACCATTGCGCAGGCTCAATCCGGCACCGGAAAGACGGCCACTTTCTCCATCAGTATTCTGCAGGTCATCGACACGGCAGTAAGAGAGACGCAAGGTACGCGCCGTAATGTATGCAATCGCTAGTAAAACGTGCTGACCCGGGTCGCCATAGCTCTCGTTTTGTCTCCTACGCGCGAACTTGCGACCCAAATCCAGTCTGTCGTCATGGCCCTCGGCGACTACATGAATGTCCAGTGCCACGCTTGCATTGGCGGCACCAACGTCGGAGAGGATATCCGCAAGCTCGATTATGGCCAGCACGTCGTCTCCGGCACCCCCGGCCGTGTTGCCGACATGATCCGTCGTCGCAACCTCCGCACTCGTCACATCAAGATGCTCGTGCTCGATGAGGCTGATGAGCTACTGAACCGCGGTTTCCGTGAGCAAATCTACGACGTCTACCGCTACCTCCCTCCCGCGACCCAGGTCGTCGTCGTCTCGGCCACGCTTCCCTACGATGTGTTGGACATGACCACCAAGTTCATGACGGACCCGGTTCGGATTCTCGTGAAGCGTGACGAGTTGACGCTCGAAGGCCTGAAGCAGTACTTCATTGCCATCGAGAAGGAAGAGTGGAAGTTTGACACTCTTTGCGATCTTTACGACACCCTCACAATCACACAAGCAGTTATCTTCTGCAACACGCGGAGAAAGGTCGACTGGCTCACGGATAAGATGCGCGAAGCCAACTTTACGGTTTCGTCCATGCACGGAGAGATGCCGCAAAAGGAGCGTGACAGCATTATGCAGGACTTCCGCCAGGGCAACTCCCGTGTCCTGATCTCCACTGATGTTTGGGCTCGTGGTATCGACGTTCAACAGGTGTCCCTCGTCATCAACTACGACCTGCCCAGCAACCGTGAAAACTACATTCACCGTATTGGGCGCAGTGGACGGTTCGGAAGGAAGGGCGTTGCCATCAATTTTGTCACCAGCGAAGACGTCAGGATTCTGCGTGATATTGAATGTGAGTGCGACAATGTCTCGTCAACGAGCGTCTTGCTAACTTCCCCAGTGTACTACTCCACGCAGATTGACGAGATGCCTATGAACGTTGCCGACTTGCTTTCATAAAGCGATTTGCTCGGCGCGCGCACAGGCACGGATCATTGACCTCTATTTCATGACCAAATAAAAAGGGCGGCCTCAGGTCGGAACTCACAGGAGCACATGGGCGCGGAGGATAAGGGCATTGTAGCCAAATGGTTCGTTTGCTCGGTTGAATTTCTTCCTTTAATTTTTCCAACGAAGCGATCAGGCGTCTAACATTGCTGCGGATTCATCAAAGATATCAAAATTGCTTTCGTTTAAAGTGATCCATTACACGCCGTCCCGACGAAGCGCCTTCTTCTTCCGCCACAAATCACAAGATCTCTTCTCATCTACCTACGGGCAAACTGTATGCATAATTCTCTCGGGGTATTTGCTGACTGAAAGCCAACAAAACATTAATACCACGGGCGGTTTTCGTGGGTGCTGTTGGTGCTGGCACACGCGAAGTGTATGTATGCTGGCTACCGGATCTGACGCTAGGGTAGGTATTGCAGGCGATGTTGATGGCGTAGATGCAAGGGAAGGGCTCGTTGACACGCAGAGGCACCCACCCAACACACACAGGCCTGGATATTGCTGTGACGGTTGCTAGATCTAACGGTAGATGCGAAGGAAGTAGACGGATGGTAGAGAAGATACGGAGTTATAGATGTAGGGGAATGAGATAGTATGTCTGCACCTTTAGCTGCATCGAGCACGCGCGTCCGTTTCGATCAGTTAGAACCGAATAAAATGGCAATGCTCAACGGCTACCTTTATACGCAATCACAAAAACGACATTAAAGCGCCGCAAAGCCCAGAAAACCATCTCAAAAAACTATTAACCCAGCAACGCACCCCCAGACCCAGCTTCTCTCTCCCGACAACCACGCCCTCACCCTCGCACTTTTACGTTTTACATTTTGCCTACGCTACGTCAGAGCTACGACCTACGCAGCAACCACCCGCAGCTAGCTCTAGACAGCCACCGCGTCAACCATTCATTCATTCGCAGTAGCAGTAGCAGTAGCAGTGTCGACACTTCAACACTTCAACATTTCCCGTCCCATCCCGTCCGTAGGTAAGTACTCACGCCCCACGCTCCATCACTCCGTCACAACCAGACCAGACTAGACCAGACCAGACCAGGCCAGGCCTACAGTAGTCACCACTCACTCACTCAGGCAGGCACTGTCTGTCTGAGTTATGATGCGCTTCTGCTATATGTTTGTATTTATATTTATATATTTATATTTTAGATAGATGCGTAGATAGAGAGAGGGAGAAAGAGAAAGAGAAGGATAGCGCAGCGCATATATATCTTTACACGGAGTAGCTTGCCTGTGTATACCACACTACACCACAAGCATATCCCTAGTTTGTCAATCTACTCGAGTAGGTAGGTAGGTAGGTATACCTGTCGTTAATTGGTAGCGTTGGTTTTTTAGTTGTTTAGGAGGGTATACACAAATTCAGCTTCAACTTTAACTTCAGCTCACGACCGGACGTAGACGTAGATGTAGATGTAAACGTAGGTGGAGGGATATAGATATAGAGATAAAGATATAGAGATATATAGCTGACCACTGCACTAGAGCTAGTAACAAGAATAACAACACACAATCAGGCCGTTATAATACGTTACGTTTCGTTACGTTGCGCGCCAATCGGGAAATAGAGCAGAGGGAGCAGAACAAGTAGAGCAAAGAAGGCAAGAGGAGAAAGAGCAAGCAGATCTCGAACCTCGAAACCCAACAACAACAACAATTACCAACGACGGACAGACAGACAGACGAATGGATGGATAGGAGTAGAAATACGCAAGCAGCAAGAAACAAACGCTAAATCGACAGACTACACACGCACGCACGCACACTCGCTCCAAGAAACACCATCCCATACCACAGCACACCGCACCGTACCCAACAACGCACAACCCAGCGTGCAACTTTTCCTTCTCTTTTTCCCTTTCCTTTTTTCCAAACCACGCTCCTCCTCCTCCCCTCACCATCCCACTCAGCCCACTCTTCCTCATCCCACCAACCCAACCAACTCAATACCCATTCTCGCCCAGCCTCGGCGCGCCCCCCTTCCAATCATCCCTCTCATAATACCTAAACACCAAATCGTATCCATCCAAATCATGAACAATGCGATCCACGCGCCGATACCCCGCAATGGACTCCATGCGAGAGCTGCGCTTCGCCGCAAGCCCGAGCACCTGTTCCTCGCCCTCGGCATCCAGCTTCTTCGCCTCGAAAATCGTCACACTGAAGCGACCCGGCCGGAAGATCCGCACCACCTGCTCCACAATGTCGACCGTCTCGCGCCCGCTCTGCGCCGCCGGCACGTTCGTCTCAAACGACGCGTAGCTGCACTGCGGCTCCGGCGTCACGTGCACCGTGAAGTAGTGGCCCTTTTCGCCCGCGCTTACGCTGTTGTTGTTGTCGCTGTCCGGCCCGCTTGGCGGCGCGGGGATCACGCCGTTGGCGCTGAAGCCGCACGGCGTGAAGAGGTACGCGTCGATGCGCGCGTCCGGGTACTTGCTCGTCGGGTACACGTCCGACAGGCCGCACGTGTCCGACACGACCGTGCCGAGCGTGTGGCCCTCGGTCGTGAGCTCCTCGGGGAACGTGAGGTCCGACTCCTCGTCCGACGGCAGGCCGCTGTGGTCCGACGACGTCTGCTCGAAGACGTCAAAGTTGTCGTCATGGTTGTTGGCCCCGTTCAGGAGCGTGCTGCCGTCCATCGAGTCGGCCGACTCGTCCTCGTGGATGGTGCCGAGGTGCTTGATGGCGCTCTTGCGCGCCTCGCGCGCCTTCTGGAAGAACCGACCTTCCGCGACCGCACTCGCGTCTTCGAGGTAAAATTGCCGCGCGTTCTCCTCGTCGAGATCGGTCATGAGAACTTCCAATGTCTCGTCTTGCGCCTCATCAGATTCTGCTCCAGCCACCATGCGCTGCGGCATGTTCAAGTACTTGGTCTCCGTCTCTTCGCGCTCTCCACTCGGGGTAGCTGGGGGAGTCAGGCGCGTGTCGGGGCCTGTAATGTAAAGGTACCAGTGCTCTCCGTTCATCTTGCCGATCATGTAGGCACTGCCGCCGATGAACATCTTGTCCAGAAACTTGACCTCATCGCGCCAGCTGCGGTGGGGACCGCGCTGCTGGTCGGGGTACAAAAAGTTCTTTCGGCTGTAGAAGACACGGTAGGGGGTGGCGGCGGCCGGGACGCTCTTGGTCAGGTCGGCAGGAATGCCAGGGAACCCAGCAGAGATCGACGCAATCTCAAGCATGCGCGGGAGACCGTAGAGGAGAGTGGTCGTGCCGCAAGTCTTCAAGACGAGCTTGTGCGGGAACACAAACATGCTCGACTCGGACAGGAGGTAAGCGTCGACATGCTCGGATTCGACGACAGAGAGGACCTTGCAGTGGACCAGATCAAGCATCTCCTTCCAGGTGTCGGCCGGAACAGCCTTGAGACCGGTGGGCTCGACGCCATCGGGAAGGGTGTTGGCCGAAGGGCTGAACCACACTTCTAGGAGCTTCTCGGGGCCTAAGAGATCGTCAGAACTGTACGTCGGGTCATACATAGAAAAGAAACCCACCTTCAAAGGCATTGCTAGAATCAAGGTCAATAGTAGCCTCGCGGTTGATCGTCAAATGAGGAGTCCCGTAGTACGAGGACGGAGACCCAGTATAGTGCTTGGGGATTTCGGTGACCATCTCCGTAGAGCTCGCGCCTTGGCAAGCTTTGTATCTCGATGCGGGTTGTTGGGTTGTCCTGAAGGTGCTGTTCAATAGCTATGGCTATGAGGCAGTGAAGCAATCTGCCACCCAGGCGAGGTGCGGAATCGCCTGAAGGAGAAGGCCCACGGAAAGGTGGACGGAAAAGGAGGCTGGCTTTAAGCCAGCAGCAGTGGGTGGTATTGAAACGGAACGACCTTTGGAAAGGACGTTATGGGGGTCTGGCGGACAGAGGGATAAAAGACGACTTGCGCCGCGGAATGACGACGATGGGTGTGGTCCTCGAGCTGGCAGATACCGATACCCCGGTGAAGTATCGGGTCTAGCAGACGAGGGGATCTGCTTGCGTGGGGTTTAGGCGGAGGCCGTTGGGCAGCAGCAGAACAGAGGCGAGGTTACAGCGGGTGTTATCTGGGCCTGAGGATGAGTTGGTTTATGTTGGCACAGAGAGAGCTTCGCTTATGCTGGGACGTACTTTGCGGGCTTGGACAGAAAGCGCAGTAGGTCCTCTTGACGCATGGACTATGGCAGTGACGATGCGGGAGGCGTATTCTGCGGGGCTATTGGCAGCCTAGCAGCGGGAATTGCTCGCAGAGGCAAGTAGTTCTGCCAGTGTGACGGCGTACGTCTGCAATACGGCGGGAGGCGGCAGCAGCAGAGGACAATTGCTCTGCGCCAGCAAATTTGTCGCGCGGCCTGTCAGAAGCGGCGGCGGAGATGCGAGGACGTCAACCTGCAGTGGGAGGCGTGTCAGTGGGCGTGATGGCGGGGAAAGGGACGCGACGGAGGAGTGTACCTCGAGTAAGACGTAGTTCGGGGTGGTGAAGGTCGGGTTTTAGGATTTGGCAGAGCCAAGTGCAGAGGATGTGGTTGATTTCGTCCTCTCGACTCGTGTGAGGATTTTCGGTCGAGTGTGGCTGATGGGCTCCGTCATGCCCGATCGCTCGCCGCCTCGCCGATCGCTGCAACGCTGCTGCAACAACCACATGCAACGCGATGTGCGACGCGGCTTTCGGCATCGACTCACGATAATACTCATATCGAGTAGAAAGAAGCACGATGGAATACTTGTATATACACATATACACTTGAGCTACTTACAGAAGAACCCAAACTCGAAGCTGGGCATAGAGACAGCCACTGAACACTTTTGCAAAGACATTGAGCTACCGTCATAGTACTATCGAATCTCCGCATTCAGTGCAACTTGAAGCGCCACCTCGTCCGACGCTGGGCTCGTTACATAGAAGAAGAAAAAACCATTACCCGGTATCGCACCAAAAAAAAGAAACCAAACACCCAGCTAGAAAACACTCAGGCAGCTAACTACGGGCACCGACCATCTCTGCAAACGCCTCCCTCAGATCCAGCACCAACAGCTCCGGCGCTTCCCACTCAACCCTCTGCACCCCCTCATCCCTCCTTCCCACCCACCCCACCTTCCACCACGCCCCCGCCCACCCAGCCATCCTCCCCCGGTCCCCATCCCCAAACACGCTGATCCCCAGCGGCACCCCACAAACACCCTTGTACAGCGCCCTCTCCGCCCGCGCGTGCTGCAGCCAGCGCAGCCCCGCCTCCGGCCCCGGCAACCACTGCATCATCGTCCAGTCGAGCAGCGTAGTCGGCTTCCACAGAGGCGCAGCGGGCAGGGCAGCAGAGCAAGGACGCGAGGGCGTCGGCGTCGTAGAGCCGGATTCCGTGGCCGGAGCGGCGGCGGAGCGGGGAAGAGCAGGCGCAGAGGCCGCAAACGAGGGCTGCAGGGCGTCGAGGATCGTGGCTAGGAGCCCGACTGGCGAGTCGCAGAGCGCGTAGGATTGCGTTTGGGGACGCTGGATCACCGTCGCTCGTGGGGACGGCGTGGATGAAGGACAGAAGTCTAAGCGTCGGTATCCGAACCTGAGGCCTGGGATTCGAGCGTGCGTTAGGCGTGCGATGTGGTATTTTAGGTAGGCTAGCGGTGTGTACATGAACGAGGGTGGCGGTACTGAGGAGTTGACGGTATGGACGGCCTTGCAGTTGGCGGAGTGGTGCAAGGCGAGCATACGGCAGATTTGGAAACCCCTGGTGCAGTTGTTAGCTTAATTGAATTTTGGACTGAAGATGAAGAGCGCACTCACCATCCAGATCCGTAAGCCACATACTCCTTATATCCCAGCTTTTCCATCAATGCATCGAACAGGTCCGCCGTCTCCCTCAGTCCAAACCCCTCCTCGGGGCTCGCATCACTGAACCCCATCCCAGGGATGCTTGGCGCAACGACATGAAAACCGATGGCAGCACCGGTCCCAGGCAGCCCGCCGTTCTCTACTGGACACGTCAAAGCGGTCAAAATATTGCCAACGTCGAGGAACGAGGACGGATAATCGTGGCAAAAGAGCAGCGGTATGACAAGTGCACCGGGAGCGTCTGGCGACAGTGAGCACCGCTTGTGAACGAAGTGCAGGCGGAGAGGTGGGTGCAAGGACGTCATGGGCGTGACAGCGGCACGGAATTGTGGGAGTTGGACGTTGTAGTGCGTCTCTTGTCTGCGCCACTCGTAATGCTCGAGCCTGGTAGACATGTGAGTGGATGCCAGGCCAACCCGTATTAATCAGTGAACACTGAATACAGCATCCGTTTGCGAAATTGTGAAGTCAGAAAGAAATACCACCCTCAAGCGCTTGAACTCTTTGACTGTTTGAAAAATGAAATCTTGGAAGGATTCATAATGAAACTTCAATACCAAAAGTCCACCAAGGGCTCCAGCACGTTTTTTGGTGTTCCATATTTCCATTGTCGTTCTTTGGAAAGTAATAGCTCACGTGGCAGTCGTGTGAGCTCGAGCTTCTTCCGCGTCAACTCTAGATATCGCGAAGACACCTGCCAGTTTGTTAGCAACGGTTTATAAACAAACTGATTTAGAAGACTTACATGCATGTTATACGGCTCAATGGCGTTCAAGTTATTTCCTTCAAAATTGGCAGCAGCACCCATGATGAATTCCAGGATGTATTGTTGAGTGTAGTACGGGCCAGGTTCATGTTCATATCCCCCGACACTGACATACTGGAACGAACTCCTCTTTGCTGCAGTGAAGCCCAAGCAGAAAGCATTGCGTGGCCTACAGCAACCTTACGCTACCTCAAGCGACAACGCCGCATCTCATTCGTTGCCTAAAAAAGCTTTCGCCACAGACATGCAAATAAAACGCCACGATAGTGGCTGTGCTGACGGGGTCTCCGACACGATCGGCAGCGAAACATGCCTGAACAGTAACACGCGACCACGAGCGTGGAAGGTGCAGAAATAGAAGACGAATGAAATAAAGCAATGAATTTAGCATTTGAAAGAGCGCTGGAGTCGCTTGCAAAAGGAAGCTCGCTCACTCGCGTTAGGCCTGAACCGTCCCATGTACCCTGCCGTAACCTACCGTGTCTACCTAGACGTCCCGCACCGTGCCACCCGTGCCACCGTTAGCCCCGTTCCTCACTCCATTGCCAGCCGTGCCGTTGCCCCGGAGGTTGAGGCTCCCGATGCGCTGGCGCAAGTTGTCACCTACCGCGTCCACTGCTCCCCTTGGTGCCAGCAAACTCGGCGCCTGCGGGCCGACCTCCTGCACCTTGAATAGCTTGATGCTAGTGCCGTTCCAGACTCCTGCCGTCCCCCTGGAAACCAGCATCTCCGACGCAAAAATGAAGCTCCAGAGCAAGGATTCATACCACCCAAGAGAGAGTGGCGACCACTCAAATAGATGGACGCGGATAGCGGACGGCTCAATGCCCCGGACTTCAGTCGTGCGAATCACTTCGAGGGCAGTCGCTGTGTCAGCCGACGTGCTGGTCGAAGGGATGGCAGGCGCAAGTTGTGAAATGAGAGTGAGAATAGTGTGCAGTGGGAGCTCTGGGAGCCAACTCTCAATCTACATTCCGTTAGTACTGTGTCCTTCGCAGGCAATCATCTTGACTTACCCATGGCACGCTCGGAGTAAACTGCCCGCTTGACACCAAAACCGGCGTAGCCAAGCTGCTCAGGCTGCTTGTGCTGTTCTGTCTAGAGAAACCCGGCGCACCGACTGGCATTTTACCTCTCGCCTTCTCCGACATGCCTCGTAGCTGAAGCGGTACCGTGTCGTCGGTTGATGCTATCGATGCCGTTCTAGAGTTGCTCGCAGAATGCGATGCTGAGCGTGCTTGTGGCGTCCGATCGTTCGATTCATCCTCCGAATCCTCATCATCACCAACGCTGAATGCGCTGCTCTCTTCCGGTACATTGCTGAGAGTTGGTGTTCTGCTGGTTGCAGGACTCCTGGGGCTGTCTATGGAGTTTTGACGCGAGCCCCTCGCCGATCCTGCATCGCTACCAGAACGCTCTTTTCTTGTTTGGTTCTGGCGTTCAATTTCGTCCTGCGCGCTCTCTAACGTAAAGGCTGTTAAGGCCTCAAAGCGTTTCTTTGACCTGACTATGGCGTATATCAAGTTCGGGTTCGCTAAAAATGGTTAGCGAGTGCAAATACATCAAAGTTATAAGCTTACTAGAGTACTGGTGCTCGACAGTAGTGTTTAACGCTTCGAGTAACGAGTGAAGTAACGCGTGGTTGGTTTCGTTCGCCAACAAAAAGCTTGGGGAGGACATGGAAGCAAAGAGTTGCAATAGTTTGGAAGAGGGGGCGCGACCAAGGTCCTGAACATATGCAGCAACGTTGTTGATAATAGCAAGCAGAGCTGGGTACACAGCATCCAGCTTCCCTTTGCTTGTAGTGAGAAGCGTATAGATGGACTGAATATGGTCAGTCATGCCAAGTACCTTCACATAAATGGAACACTTACAGTGATGAGGTAGTCAGCATAGGTCCCGTGAAAGTTTGGAATACGGATTGTCATTGGCAGCGTTTCCTGGCCTTCAAAAGGCTTGTTCAAGTTCTTCCCGAACGTCGGTTCCGTGCTCAGCGTTTGCAAAATGAAAATGCACATCCTTGTGAGACCCTGTCTGGAAGGATCGTGGCTCTGATCCATGGCGTAGAAGAGAATCAAGACGACGAAGTCATGCGCCCGGTCCGTGTCAATAATGAATGATCGGAAGCGTTTGTTGCACTGAAGCACCTCCCAGAAGAGCACCAGCATCTCTGGTGCCCAGCTAAGGGACTTCTGACTTCCGGGTAGGTACGCCGTCGTAGCTTGTAACTAGAAGATAGTCAAGACACAGTGGAAGAAAAGGGTGTTGAATAGCTTACGGGTTGGTTCAGGATCCTGGTCATACCATCATGCAGGAATTGGAAATCCTGAGGGCGATGAAGTCGGCCCAGGAAATGCCGGAAGAAGTTCTTAGGGGGCGTTCCATTACCTGGTTCAGGAATCGGGTAGAGTATAAGGACAAGGAGCAACTGGAGACAGTATGTCACGAGTATCTGCTTTGGATCCTTGAACACGACATGATCGTAGGGGACGCGCCAACTTGCCGGGTTGTATTTCAGGGTCTGGATAGGCAGATTGTCAATTACCGCGCAAGGAAAGGAAAGACCGGGAGACAAACTGTGTTGAGCAAAGAGCAGAGCAATGATAGCACGACTTGCTTCTCTGGGCACGTCGTGATGTACGTAACTGCTTTCACGCCTTTTACCGGGAGAACGTCTACATGCAGTCAGAACACGGCGACAGCATGGCAGACGGAGGTGACCTACTTGGTGACATATACATGGATTTGCTAGCTAAGGTAAGCAGTAGCCGCAAAATCTCCGTGCGATTGCTCTCATATTCTTTGCTTGTTCCCACTGGAGTGTTGCATCCGACACCGCTCTGCCATATCGCATATGTGACTTTGCCCTTCCCGGCCGGCGCCTTGGGCAGGGTGAAGTCGGAGTAGAACAGAAGATCAATGAGAGTATCAATCAGCTCCTCGGCCAAGGGCTTTGCTTCCTCAAATTCTGGCTCGTTGGTCTTGGGGGTGTCGTCGTCGGGGTTGCTGTCGTCAAACAGAACCTCGGAGCGCTGCAACTGCCCTTTACGACTGCGCTTTCGGCGCGCGCCCCAGAAGAACGTCTCCTCCCAGCTCTCAAGGTGATCGGCTTCGTAGATGTAGGGCAGCAGGCGGGTGAGGACACGTATGCAGTTGAGCGCATCCCTCTCCGGCGCGAGTTCGGGATCGGGGAACGATGGGTGGTTGCGGAGGACGCATAGACGCGACGTGACGGCGAGAATAAGGGTTTCTAGGTTGGCGAGAGAGTTGTCCCTTGTGCGACGTATGTCGGCGGGAGAGAAGAGGGAGAAGACATCCTCGGCTGACTCTGGAAGTTCCCAAAACTACCGGTTGCGGTCAGCGATGCACAATGCGCAAGCTTGGAAGTGCCTACTCCGGTCCAGTAAGGGTCGTCTGCTGGTATCTGCTGCTGTTCGCTGAGGCGAATGATGCCCTGCTTGAAGACAAGCTTTGAGTCGGAGGCTCCCATGGCAGCTATACGGTCAGTCTCCGTAGCATGTCGCGGCCGCGTGAAACCTTGGAGAGAGTCGCAGAACTGGGACCGCGCATATGACGCTCGAAGCGGGCTCCGGCTGGCCGCAATCCACTGTGGAGCCCAGCAAGGTATGCCAAGGCCTGCATGCCTCGCTTCCCGCTTAGCTAATCCTGCCAGACATCATCGCCGCCGCCTCCAGCCCATCATCTCGCCCGCATCTCCATCCACTACACTCACACTCCGCCCAGAACACTCCTTGCTGCGCGTTCGTGTGGCCAAGAGCTCTGTAGACGACGCCTCTGGGAGTTTCACCGCCACTGGTCGCCTCTCGCCGCCTCCGCGTTGAAGATACTCTGCGACAGGAGGCATAAACCCCGGCAGGCTTGCCTTCAGAGCAACAATGGCGACCAAGCGCAAGGCGCCGGTGGCAAAGGGCGGCCCGTCCAAGCGGGCGGCTTCGGGCATAAACACGCCAGCCAGCATGGGGGGTAGTAGCGATGATGAATACTTCGAGGCCGGTTCGGATGAGCTTGAGGAGTTGGACGATGTCCAGGGTCTGGTGAACAAGTTTACTGTGAGGCAGCGCAAGACGACGGGCAAGGCAGACACAGTCTCGCACATTTTCAAGGCGCGCGATTACTCTGATCTCGATCTGAAGATAGAGCACGCAGATCGGCCTTTGTGGGTGACACCCGAAGGCAAGATCATCCTGGAGAGCTTCTCGCCGCATTTCAAGACCGCCGAGAAGTTCCTGATTAATATCGCCGAACCACAATCTCGTGTGTCCTACATTCATGAATATTCCTTGACCGGTAACAGCCTTTTTGCAGCCGTCTCCGTGGGGCTCTCCACCCAGGATATCATCAAACAATTGGAAACTCTGTCCAAAACTCCTTTGCCGTCTGAAGTCATTGATTTCATCAGCGAGTCCACAAAGTCCTTTGGAAAGGTCAGACTGGTCCTCAAGCAAACCAAGTACTATGTTGAGAGTTCCGACCCTGGAGTGCTTCGGACCTTGCTTCAGGACGACGTCATCGGAGCTTGTCGCGTGGATACCACGGATGGTTTAATGAAGGTCACAGCAGCAAAGAAGGGAGATCTTGTTATTCCGGGTACCAACATGGCTGCAGGAGCAAAGCAAGCCGCTGCGGCGCAACCCGCGCCGGAAGCTGCCGAGGATATGTTGAACGTGCTAAGGGAGGATGAAGACGACGACGAAGATGAGGACCAGGTTCACTCGTTCCAAATCGACGGCCCCAAGGTTCAAACGGTATCGAAGCGGTGTCGAGCAATCGGTCTGCCCCTGACCGAAGAATACGATTTCCGGAATGATTACCAAAATGCGAATCTCGACATCGATATCAAACCCGGCGTGCAGATTCGGCCTTACCAGGAGCAAGCCCTTACCAAGATGTTCGGCAATGGTCGTGCACGTAGTGGCATTATCGTGCTGCCGTGCGGTGCAGGCAAGACTTTGGTTGGCATCACTGCAGCTTGTACAGTCAGGAAAGGATGCATTGTGCTCTGCACAAGCACCATGTCTGCTCACCAGTGGAAGGCCGAATTCATCAAGTGGTCTAACATCAACCCCAGCGACATTGCCGTTTTCAGTGCCGAAGAGAAGACACTGTTCTCAGGTAACACCGGTGTTCTCGTTTCCACTTACAGCATGATTGCAATGACACGCTCTCGTTCCCACGAGTCACAAAAAGTTCTCGACTTTCTTACGAAGAGAGAATGGGGTCTTATGGTCCTGGACGAAGTCCACGTCGTTCCCGCAGAAATGTTCAGCAGGGTCACTCACACCATTCCGTCTCACGCAAAACTGGGCCTCACAGCCACACTTCTACGTGAAGACGACAAGATCGAGGAGTTGAACTTCCTCATTGGGCCAAAGCTCTACGAGGCCAACTGGCAAGAGCTGTCTGACCTTGGGTTCATTGCCAAGGTTATCTGCTCCGAAGTCTGGTGCCAGATGACGACGGAATTTTACGCAGAATATTTGAGGGCCAACCAAACCAACAAGCGCGCTCTCCTCTTCACAATGAATCCTCGAAAGTTCCAGGCCTGTCAGTTCCTCATTGACTACCACGAGAGAAGAGGAGACAAGACCATTGTCTTCTCTGACAATGTGTTTGCATTGAAAGAATATGCCAAAAAGCTTCAGAAGTTCTTCATTTGCGGAGAGACGTCCAACCAGGAGCGAGCACAAGTCTTGCAACACTTCCAGAACAACCCGGCCGTCCAGACCATTTTCCTCTCCAAGATTGGAGACACTTCTCTCGATCTGCCAGAAGCAACCTGCCTCATTCAGATTTCCTCGCACTACGGTTCCCGTCGTCAAGAGGCTCAGCGCCTAGGACGTATTCTACGAGCCAAGCGCCGTAACGACGAAGGCTTCAACGCGTTCTTCTATTCGCTCGTGTCGAAAGACACGAACGAAATGTACTACTCGTCGAAGCGACAGGCGTTCCTCGTTGACCAAGGATATTCATTCCGGGTCATCACGCGACTTCAAGGCATCGAGCAGCTGCCAGGACTGGCCTTCACGACGAACAAAGAGCGGCTCGACCTGCTGGAGGCGGTGCTTTTCGAGGCGGAGAAGAACCAAGACGCAGGCGCGATTGAGCAGAACAAGGGCGACTTGTTCGACCGGCGCCAGCGCGGCGGCAAGCCCATGGCGCGCCGCATGGCGGGCACGCTGGGCGAGCTCAGTGGCGGCCAGAATATGGCGTATATCGAGTACCAGAAGAACAAGAACAAGGATATCAGGACGAAGGGTAGCCAGGATATGAAGAAGCTGCGGCGCTTGGTGGAGAAGCGGAAGAGTGCTGGTGCGAACTTGCGGTAGACCGTAGAGTTGTGTTTTACTATTGGGCTTGGAACGAAAATCCTTAATATGGTATGGTCATGGAGGCATTAGTATGGCATTGCTAGATTGGTCAATTCAAGGATTAATGCTGGTTGCCTGCTTTGGAAGCACTGCTTGATTCTGGCATCTCTACCTTCTTTATTTGAAATTCGTTTCTTTCCTTTCTCTTGGCTGTACACAGCCCTTTTGATGTCTCTAGCTCCTCCGTCCAGACAAGAACTCTCACCCGAGCCACTGAAACTCAGTGACTCCAGTCTTCACCAGATACAGATACGCAAACGCACCCACAAGCCAAGACAGTGGCAAGAGCAACAACAAAGAACCAGCTTCCCAGCCCAACGGATCCGGCGTTTTCTTTATTTGCCTTTGCACTGACGCTGCTCACGATAGCATTCCGTCAACCCTTCTGACAAAACTGGGTCTTAGTCTGGGCCACAGAACTTACGGTGTCGAATAACCAACGTTGCAATAACTGGGATAGCTTTTTGCAGTGTCTGTCGCTGTTCGCTCATCGGCAATAGAAACAAAAAAGCAAGATGGCGCAGTCGACCGCGTTCGTCTTTCCACTAATATATAAGCCGGTTTCACGTATAACCCTTGACGGACTTTTTAAGCACTGCACAAACAGCCTCGCTAGTTAGCAGAGACGACGCAGTAGGGAGGGCAGAAGTAAGTAGAACCCGAAACCGCTGGCGCCGGGGTAGCTGTACCTGTAGCTGTATTAGCGGTGCTGTTTAGTAGAGTTTTAATATTGTGAGATGTCCATAGAGCTGAAGGGCGCTCAGAACTAAAGGTCAGAGTTGTGCTGCTGGTTGAGCTGGCGGGGTTTGGTTTAGATTCTACGCATAAGTAAGAAGTAAGAGATATTATACGTGCCCATCTACTTACTCACTCACTCGTCCCATCCCTGCCCAAACCACCACTCACCAACCACCAGCCAGCAGCCAGCAGTACCTCATCAAACCCCACCGAACTAATCCGCTCCTAAAACCATAAGTCTTGACTATTCCACTCGCGAGCAAAGCCTCCTATCCCATATCCAAACACAGTACCAACCACAAGACCGCAACCATTCCCAAGTTCTCCCACCTCCCAACACCCCAGCTCCCAGCTCCTACAGCATACACACCTAAGCCAGCAATCTCAACCACCCACCTACCTACCCAGCTATCCCACAACCGCCCCGTAACCGCGAAGCTAACATTAATCCCGCAGGTACAAGAGGACGAGAACACACATATACTCGGAATAAGCGTGAAACCAATCTAATCTCATATACATCCGCAGTTACTAGCTAGCTACCTATCCACCTATCTACCCCACTCTACCCCGTTCGACCTCTACCGCTGCTACCGCTGCTGCTACACAGATACATCATACGCCCCTCTACCCTACTGCACTCTGCGAGACTCTGCTCCGTCCGTATAAGTATAAGTATAATTCTGAGGAAGAGGAAGGACAAGCCCCTCTCTCTCGCGCGCGCACCAGAACCGTGTCGTGCGTGCGTATGTACGCTACACAGCGCCGCATACCTAGGACAGAAAAGATCGCGCGGCGCGGCGCGGAGCGGGCTGCTGGCCCGTGGACAGGCATGCGTGCTGCACACTCCTCCTTTGCCTTTTCTCGCCGAGCTCTTCTTGGTTGCGTCCCAAGTCCCAGCTAACACACACACACACACACACACAAGCCATGTATGTATGGTATGGATGGAGCATGTTCAAGGTAGGTAGGTAGGTAGGTGTTCACAGCGGCGGAACAACCGCCCCGGCCGGCTTCTTTTCCCGTTGTTTTTCCTTTTTACCTGGGGTTTCCTTTTTTCCTTTTTTCCCTTTTTTTTTTTT